GAGGGGGGGGGGGGGAGAAATGGCACTGAGTCGGTATGGAATGAGCAGTCCATCCGGACTGCCTGAGAGCGCACTTGAGTGATCAAACTAGGGAAAATCCATCTGTGGCCCGTTAGCAAGTGTTAGGACTGAACTTTCTCTGGTGTCTTTTAACTCTGTTTCTGTGGCGGGGCAGCACGGAGTGCCGACAACTGTGGGACCTTACCCAGATGTTGCTGTCTGATCGTTCCCTTTAGATCCATTAAGCATTCACAGCTATGTTGGATCTAAAGGCACATCTGACTGCTGCCCGCCACAGGCCCTGTCTATCAAACATGCTCTGGGAATTGTGTGGCTGTCACTCATTTTCCAGGCATGTGGGGGCCCCATGCAGAACAATTTGCACTGGTGGTGTGTAAGAAGAGGGGGCTCATGCCTTCCTCCCAGGCTGTTTTCCCAACCTGAAAGGGCCCCGGGGAACTGTTCTTTATCCTGTTGGGGAAACTTATATGTACTGATGGGCTATCCATAAGTTCCCCAACAATGCATATCGTAGTTCCCTGGGGCTGTCTCAAGTTTGGAGAATGTTAGTGGGGGGTGTCCAGGCCCATATCTGCCCTGGAATTAAATTCTGAAACTCCCACAACATGTTTCACAACAGGACGCATGGGTGACATGAGACTTTGTAACATGTGAGTTGGCCTAACGTGACTTCTTTTGCTGGTATTTCACAACTGTTGCTTTTTGCTCACTTTGGAGGGCCTGTGGTTCACAGGTAGAGCATCTGTGTGGCATTCAGAAGATGCCGGGTTCAATCCCCGGTATCCCCCGGAAAATGAGGCACTCTACATGTATAAATATAGCCCTATTTATGGTAGTCAAATGTGTTATAAACTTAAAATGGTGTTGAAATAAGAACACACTTATAAGATTTTAATGAACAAAGAGTGAAGCTTGGTATTTTTAGACATCAGGTACATTCTACCTGAAAGACATTGTGTTTTTGATACGAGGAGAGGCAATCTCAAGGAACCAGTCGCTCTTGGATATTAAGTTTGGATCATTGTGGCAAATAATGCTGAAAATGAGGCACTCTACATGTATAAATACAGCGCTATTTATGGTAGTCAAATGTGTTATAAAATTAAAATGGTGTTGAAAGAAGAAAACACTTATAAGATTTTAATGAACAAAGAGCGAAGCTTGGTATTTTTAGACATCAGGTACATTCTACCTGAAAGACATTGTGTTTTTGATACGAGGAGAGGCAATCTCAAGGAACCAGTTGGAAAAACAGTGACGTGCGGAATGCAAAAATCTATCTTTGACTGTACATATTGTTTTTGTCCCTTTAGGTTGGAACAAGTACTATGGATAACCCTTTGCTCAAGCATAGCGCAAAAGATTATTTCTTTAAAGCTGCCCTGTGTCACTTTTTGGTTGATGAACTGAATGCTAAGGTGAGTGCACCTTATTGTTCTATGTATTATTATACCTTATATTGGATAGCGTACAAAAATATACAGTTCCTATTGACAGAGATTGCAGAGACCCCCTTGTTGCGGTTCTTTCTGCGAAGGAAATGCTCGCTATACCAGGCCTACTATTCAAGCCTTTTTCCCTTCCAGATTTAAATTTTTATTTCGAGAAAATTAGAATTCAAGGTAGCATAAAAATACATCTTACAGAAACAGTGAACAGAGGGAGCAACGTCATCAAAACATAAACCTTTGAAACATTCAAACTGGATTTTCACTTCCTTGTAATTGGAGGGGGAACTGTGCTTTAATCCTGTCTTTGCCCATGGAGTTTAGGGTGCAATCCACAGTTCCCCTAGGGCGAGCTATGTTTATTTTTAGGGCGAGAGTGTTGTGACTTGCCGAAGGCCACCCAGCTAGCTTCAAGTGGGGAACTGAACCCGGTTCTCCAGGTTAGAGTCCGCCGCTCTCAGCCACTACACCAAACTGGCTTTCTCACATTAAGGGTGGTAACCCTATACCCTCCCCCTTTCATTTTCACGACAAGCCTGTGTGCTAAATTGAGAGAGTAATCACTAAACAATGAACCCTCCTGTGGCACAATCTGACCTAGACGCAGCTATGCCAAAACCCCTTGAATAGTATCTTCCTATTTGTGTCTGGGCAGTTCTGTACACTGGAAAGACTCAGTTCTGTTTTCAGTTTTGCTATAAAACCAGCCTTGAGTTTGGAGCACAGAAAAGTCATATTGGCTCATAGCACAGGCAGTTGCCTATTTAAATAAGTCCAATATAAAATCTTCTCATTTTAAATTTTGTTTCTTCAAATGAGCTGTGCAGCTCTGATTTTGTGCCTTGGATTGCGGTTCTGTTTCTGAGAAAACCATTCCTGATAGGCTGAGGGATGAAGGAGACAGTATGTGGGAGAAGTGTGAACAGTTTCCTGCCGATGGTTTGTTTTTCTTGAAAATCAGCCCTTGGAGGCTGTGAAGAATGTTAAGGGGGAGTGGTTAGTTATCCATTTCCCCTTTTTGCTGTTCGTGCATTCAGAATTCATTCCGCCCATTTCACAGGCTGCTTCCTTACTCATTGGGGGGAGGGGGGCAAAGATAGAGGACTCCTTTATCTTTCCCTCTGCAGTGAAAAAAATGTAGTTATGACCATTACAATTATGAAATAAATAAATGGTGGGAACAGAAGAGGTTAAGCAGCTCCTGTTCTCCAAACCTGCTGACTGCTGACTCATCATTTCTATATAGTCTAGTTTGGCTCTGAGAAGTGGGACAAGTCCCAGTTTGCCAAGTGTGCGTGCTAATACAGCCCCCCTGCCCCCCGCCAGTTATACATCTGATTTAAAGAATAGCCAGTTAAGCATTTAAAGAACTGCTTTTCAGGTTTAAGTACTGGGGAGGCAGCAGTTCCTGCTGCAGTCTTGTTGTCCCACATTGTTCTTTGTCCAGAAGATCTTTTTTTAAAAAATTAAAGTTTAAGTAACTTCTTCTCTAGTATTTTCTTGTATCACTTCAGTCGGAGAGAACAAAATGTCCCCATGTACTTTTAATGGCCTGTGGGAACACCTGAAACTTCCAGATACAAACCCATTCACACAGGGGAGTTGCTGAAGATTGTAGATAACTAGTCTAAGGAGTTCAGCTCTGCAAAGTATTATCTGTCAGCTGGAGGCCAAGTGCAGTTAATCAAGACTAGGCTGCGGTTGTCCTCTTGAGAGGCATTGCTACCATGGCGATAGTTTTTCAGTGAAACACTCATAATGAGATCAGATATGCTCGGTTTGATTGAACGGTGAACTTTAGCAGTGTCTTCTCTCTTCCAGCTTGCTCTTGAGAAGTATGAGGAAATGTTCCCAGCATTCACGGATTCAAGGGAGTGTAAACTATTGAAAGTAAGTGACTCTGCATCCTGGCCAATGCGCTGGAACTAGAAATGGTGCACGACCTTTCTCAGGATTGTTGCATGGGGACTAAGAAAAACAGAGGGCTTCGAATTGAAAAGAAGAGAAGAATGATAATCCCAGAGCACATGTTAAAACTATAATCTTTATTGGCTGGATTTGAAGAATTACAGTACCACTGAATAAGACTGTAGGAAATGGCTTGTCTTGTGCGAGTGTGGGGGACCCTTATGATCATCCCAACCAGTTACTGAAGGCCTCAGAAGAAGGGAAGGGAGTCTACTGTGTGGCCCCTTCTCATCTCTGTGCTATATCTGGTTTCAAAAGAAGCTCCAAAGAGCCTTCCTACCTGGCTTCTTCTGAGTAGCCTTCCAAGCCACATACATTTTCTGGTCTCCCCCTACATTTAGCACTTGTGAATCACTCTTGTTTTTGCACTGGCTTCATTCCCAGACAGGTTATAGCCCTTTCTCCTGACCTGGGAAGGATATGAGGTGATAGCACTCGCTAGCCTTCATCTGCTGTTCCTTCAGGGTCAGCTTTCAGGAAGACATGGTGACCTACTTCCCCTATACCTGCATACCCTCCACACTTCACACCTTGAGTCAGCCCCTGTCTCTTCCATCCTTTTCCCTCTGCCGTGGACGTAATTTCTGCTTCCTGGGGCCATGGTGCCATGTAGGGACCCCATGACCTCCCTTTCATATAAGGTCACAAACTAGAATGCTGGTTGTATTGGTACTGTATGTACATAAACTTGCATAGATAATGTCACTAGAGTATTATAACAGGAAGCTTTGCATATTTCTGTGTATTGTTCAGTGAAAAATAAATCTATTGTAAATTCATGGGTGGTTTAAAAAAATGTCTCTCCAAGTATTGAAAGCCCTTGTACAGCTACAGTGGTTCACTACCCATGAGAGCAGTGGTCAGATGTTCAATTCAGCATTCTAATCTTTTAATGTTTTTCTGCCAGAAATTGCTGGAAGCTCATGAGGAACAAAACTGTGAGGCATACACTGAAGCAGTAAGTAGATCTCTGTTTTACTTATTATGCAGATCCGGTCATATAGATATACTAGGAATAAGGCCCATCGTGGAAATAAATACAACGAGCTCTATAAAGAGGTTCTGGACAGGTGGCCTGGCCTTGGGCACTCAGCGTCAATTTACTGTGGTGACCTCAGCAGGGTATAATGACACAGAGTCCACTGTTTTCTCCAAGGGAACTGATCTCTGCCATCTGAAGAGCACTTGTAATTGAGTGATCTCCAGCCCTCACCTAGAGATTGGCAACAATGGTTCCCCAGGAGGAAATGACTGGTTTCAAGGGTGGAGTCTATGGCATTGTACCTTTCTGAGGTCCCTCCCCTCCTCAAACCCCACCATCTCCGGGCTCCACCCCTCAAATCTCCAGGAATTTCCCAACCTGGAGTTGGCAACCCTATCTCCTTCCCAGCCAACCATCAACCTACCTTTATCTGCCCCTCTGACTTCAGGTTTCCATCTCCTCCCCCCCTCTCTCCTGGGGAGCAGTTGTAATTCTGAGTGATCTCCAGCAGGAATTTCCCACCTGGACTTGGCAACCTTATCTCCTTCCCAGCCAATCATCAACCTACCTTTATTTCCCACTCATTCTTCAGCTTTCCACTCCCCCCCTCATCTGCAGCCTCTACCGGGCTCTGAAGCCCTGACTGCTACGTCACATTGGCTGTCATACAGGGGCCATCTCAGCAGGATATAAGGACACAGAGTCCACCATTTTCTCCAGGGGAACTGATCTCTGCCATCTGGAAAACAGTTGTAATTCTGAGTGATCTTCAGCCCTCACCTGGAGATTGGCAACAATGGTTTCTCCCAACAGACACTAAGGGTACCTCAGAACACATTTTACTTCAGAACAGCAACAGCAAACTGTTTAGAATGTTAGAGGCAAAGGCCAATGAGGCCACATATGCAAATGACCTCTGTGCTCTGAGGCAAAGGCCAATCAGGCCACATATGCAAATAACCTGACTGGCTATGGGGGGGAGAGGAACAGCAAACTGTTTAGAATGTTGGAGGTGAGACTCAGGCAACTCAGCCAGTGGATAGGGACAACTCCTGAGTGACAGATCACGGAGCCAAAGGCTATATGGGCGCCGTGTGGAATGTTCAGCAGCGTGCCACCACCAACAGAGAATTATTATATAGAGATTCAGGGACTGTGTGGAGCAAAGATTCATGGTTCAGGTGTGCTTCCTGTCCCCCTGTTTCTGGGAATACACATGAACACATGAGGCTGCCTTATACTGAATCGGCCCGTTGGTCCATCAAAGTCAGTATTGGCTGCCTAGACTGGCAGCGGCTCTCCAGGATCTCAGGGTCTTGCCTATGACCTGATACTTAAGTGGAGATACCAAGGACTGAACCTGTGACCTGTATGCCAAGCAGATGCTCTACTGCTGAGCTGCTGCCTTATCCCTTTACCAAACCACTTGGGCTGGAAGGAGAAGCTGAGAAATGTCTGTTTTTCAAGGGCTACTATTGAAACGAGTTGGTTCCTCCAGCTTCATGCCCTGTCCGCTTATGGTTTCATTGCTCTTGACTTTTGGTAGTCACGTTAGTTAGTTAGATGAAATAAGCAGTATGCTAAAAGACATTAAACACATTTATAGCTAGCTGGAATCCTCTGATGGACTTCTTGCAGGAAATGGGAAAAAATAAATGGCCATTTATGGGTTTGAAGAATAAGAGGGCAAGAAATGAATTATAAGATAAAAGAGAGGGTTCTTTTTTCTTTTATGGATCTATAGAGAGTGTTAATAGAGAATTAATATGTACCAGTCATAGATGAAAATAGGAATATATTCCTTTTTTCTTTTTTCCCTATGATTACCCTTAATTCTGTCTTCTGTATCTTCTCTTTTAAGTTATTTTGATTAAAAGCTTAATAAAATTCATTATTAAAAATAAGCAATGTGCTGAATATGAAATGTAAATATCTTGGTTGTCCTTTGTTTTCTAATAATCTGTGCTTCTCCCTCTCCATAGGTCAAAGAGTTTGATTCGATATCCCGCTTGGACCAGTGGCTCACCACCATGCTGCTGCGCATTAAGAAATCAATTCAAGGAGAGAGTGAGGGTGACCTGAAGTGACCTGTCCCGTGTGACTCGTGCCGTGTCTGTTGAAGTTACTCTGTGTTGTGGCCCAGGACCATTATTGGATACTTGATAAATGCTTCTAGCTTCACTGACTGGTGTCTTGTTCAGTATTCTGTAGTGGCTCATGCTGTGGCACCTAAGAACATGAATTCTACATTTGTGAGTCGGATTCTCTTAAAAATGTCTAAATATAAAGATGCAGATTCCGCTCTTTTTTGCATGTTTACCTGGAAGCAAATCCCACTAAGTTCAGTGGAAGATTGCTTCCATGTAATTGCGCATAAGATTGCAGGCCATGTAAACTCAACTGAGGTGAAACGCTGGTCACCTTGAAATGATGCTCTCGTAATATGAGTAGCCACATTTCCCCACTCTCCCTGCCTCCACCAAATTTGTTGTGGTTTTGAATAAATGTTGGTCTACAGTCCATTTGGATTCTTTGTGATAATAACAGCGACAACCGATAGGAGAGCTCTGTTTTCACTGTGTTGTTGAAATGCGTGTCCTTTTTTGTGTCAGCATTTGTGCAACTTGATACGGTTGAGTCACAACACTACACTGAATTGAGCTGAGAGGACACATAAACCATGCAATCCCCTTTCGGGTAGATGATGAGCTTCATGAGGCTCAAACGTGAAACGATGTCTGAATGCAGGTGGTTCTCTTACATCTGTCCACATGTTACACGAGTTAGGGATGGAATGACATCATGGTTCTGACCAAGTGGACGACTGGAAAATGTTTAATGCAGAAGTCAGAAATGTGAATTCCTGTTATGAAAAGGGGCCACATTTCTGAAGCATTCTGTCTCCGAAGACATGCACTCCAGGCCAAAAACTGCAGGGCAAGAGACAGGACTCCAAGGCTCTCCACCCGATTCAGTAGCAGGTTCAGAAATGTGAAAAAATACCTATTTCTCCCAAGAAACAAAATGCAATTTCATTTTGGTAGGTTTCCTGGTTCCGTGGAGCCATTTTCTTCTTTCCTGGATCAGGGTCCTTTAAGCCTTGAAAGCCCTGACCTGGATAGCCAAGATTAGACTGATTTCATCTGATCTTGGAAGCTAAGCAGGATTAGCCTTGGTCTCTGTATTTGGATGGGAGACCACCAAGGAAGTCCAGGGTTACTGCAGACGCAAGCAATGGCCCATCCACCTCTTTGTCTCCTGCTTTGGAAACCCTGGATGATAGAGCTGTTCTGATGATGCCGTGGAAAGTGTGTGATGCTCATAGACAGTAGACATGGGTTCTGAAAACATGCTGAAATACAAAATGATATAGGTCTGAAGATGCAATCAATTTTTCATAGTAATTTTTCATGGTATAGCAAACGAGCCACTCTTCTAAAATGCTGATTGAGGATTGGCCTGTGTGGGCAACAGAACGAGACTATAGAATGGTGGCATGGCAGAACGGACTCTGGCCAATCTGGACTGTAGGTGGTGGGGATGGGGGGGAGTTCCTGTGTGCAGATGTCCAAATGTCCCTCTGTATGCTAATTCCTCGCAGGCAGAAAAGTAGCACAGCTGGGAACAGGTTGGGCTAAAATCTTTCTCCCCAGCACTAGCTTTTTGCTTGCAAGGAGACTGGAACAGGGGAGAAGCATACAAAAGCCTTTAAAGAGACACAGGGCCCTTTCCCCAGTTCAGGACTATGCCACTTCTTTCTGCTATGGAGATGTGACCTAGCTTTGGCCACATCTTTTATTCTCTCCGTGTTGTGTGTATGCACAGTTGTTCTTGGGGAATTTAGCCAGTGGCCCACTTTGTTCAGTACAAACTGAATCATCAGTCCTCCTGCCACCAGCTGTCTCCCCACCCACTTCTCCCTGCTGCTCTTACTCACATACTGTTGAGCAACAGCTGCAGGCCGTCTCTTAGCTCCAGAGAGGCAGTGGGCTGTCAGGAGCTTCAGAGAGAGAGAGATGCTCATGCCTGCAGCTGGATGGAATTTCTTTACAAGGGATGCCAGTGGGTACAGCTGGAATTGAGGGGTCCAAGAGCAGGCCGGGGATGGCAGGCAAGGAGAGAAACTCAGATGACCATGAAAATGGTTTTAAAGAGCCTCTCCGTATGGAGTTTCTGCTTTCATTTCCTGTATTTTTATTTCTTTATTTAGACATGTATGCCCCACTTTTCTTCCCATTTGGAACCCAGAGTGGCTTACATCATTCTTCCTTCTGTTGTTCTATCCTCATGACAACCCTGTGAGGTAGGCTAGGGTGAGAGTGTGTGACTGGCGCAAGGTCACCCAGCAAGCTTCCCTGGCAGAGTGGGGATTCAAACTGGGGTGTCCCAGATCCTAGTCTATCCACTCTACCACACTGGCTGTCGTAGTCTTCCTTTAGTTTGTGGCACAGCCTTTTCTTTAGGTCCCCGAGACTCTTCCCCCATAGGTGGCTGTCCTCGTCAAAACTTCCTGCGTCAGTTGTTTGTTTAACGGGCATATAGGGACAACCGGCTTCCGCTCGCCTAGATCTTGTAGATCAGATTCGCTGCAGCTTTGGGCTGGCGTTTCACTTCAAACTGTTCCAAACAGATGCACTCCATTCCTGAATCGCTCACAAAACACCTGCCTTTTGACGTGTCCTGTATCTGTAACCTAGACACACCTACAACCCTTGTATAATAAACTGTGCTGGTATTGTGGCTTTTGGGAGTCTGTGAAATGAATAGTGACCATGAAATAATGGGCTCATTCCTCACCAATGTTACATCCGAGGGCGACGCAGAGCTGCTTGTTTTGAAACGTTCCGCACAGAAAGGCGGCAGACCTTTTGTCAGCTCTCCTGTGTCTGTACGTGTCTTAACGGTAGGGCAGTTCTCTGCTGGATGTGAAGAATGCGGCCACCGGTGTGCTCTGGGTACGATCCTTAACTAGAGCAGGGCTGTGGCTGGATGTGGGAAAGGCTTTCTTTTATTCCTTCTGTTCTGCGCGTTGCTGGTTTGACATAAGATTTGCCATTAAAGAGTGTGCTGCCCACTGTGAAGATAACTTTGTGTTTCAATTAATCCTGCTAAACATGCTGGCTTTGGCAGACCATTGACGTGGGGGCACCAGAATGAGGAAGAGATAAATGTATCGGGTCACCTTCTGCCCGCATAGGAGGCTTGCAGTTCAAGCAAGGGCCTGCTGTTTGGCAGGTGTACAGGCTTTCTTTTTCTTGCAGTACAATAGCCAAAGATTGTGGGTTAGATCCTACAGATGGAACAAAAGTATCCTCCCTTCCCCTGCCTCACTCCTGCCCACCGAGTCCCCCAAAATGCTGCTCCTTGGGAACGGGGGACTGTCACAAACAGCAATGATGGGTGAGTTGGGGAAGGGGGCTGTGGTCAGTAGGATGAACTGGCAAAAATCGCTTCCCTTACTTGCTGTTGGGAAAACAAAGGTCTTTGGATCCAACCCTGTCCTTTGCAACTCTCCTCTATGTTAAGCTGTGCTAGAAATGGATCGTAGAACTTAAGACATTTTGTTATCTTCAAATTAGTCCTGCATAAGGCCCCTTTCAGGAGCTCCCGTCTCTAGTTCCAGCTCCTGCCAACCTAGCAGTTTGAAAGCAAGAAATTGCAAGTAGATAAATAGGGACCACTTCGGTGGGAAGGTAACAGCGTTCCGTGTGCCTTGGTGTTTAGTCATGCCGGCCACATGACCACGGAAACGTCTTCGGACAGCGCTGGCTCTTCGGCTTTGAAATGGAGATGAGCACCACAACCCTAGAGTCGGATTCGACTGGCTTTCGAGCAAGGGAACCTTTACCTAAGGCCCCTCTCAAATGGTGTCAGGGGCAAGGCAGAGGCCACATTGCCATCTCCATTAGATACAGTTTTTTGGGGAAGATTTTTCCTCTTCACATCATATAGTACTCCAGTGTGCCTCTGTTTGCTATTAAACCAATATTGTTTTTAGGAACCATTCACTGGACTGGGAGCATAACTTTTGCAAATAAGATTTGGTGGGAGATGAAGTATCGTTTCTATTGTCATGGGAATATAAAGGACTAGAAAAGAGCTTTCATTCCCACCCACCCCCCGGAGCATGAAGGTTGTAGTAACCCTTAGCAGCACGCTAGGAAGCAAAGGATTACTAGCATGTTTGAGCTACCCTTTGCCTGCTGTACTGCAGCTTCGTAGCAGTTTGGCGCGCCACCTTAAAGTCTCCAGCCACTGAGGACTGCTGAAGTAGAGGAAACCTTGTGCCAGGTTAGCCAGTTTCGGTTAAAGATCTACAATCTACCGTGTTGTTTTTTTAAATCCTACCCCTTTCAGTTCTCCACTCTGCCATGGAAGGTCTCTGGGTGACCTTGGGCTCAGAGTTCCCTCTAAGCTGACTTAGTGTGAGCTGGCTCAGACATTTTTGTCTTAGCACAGGAAGGCGGGCTCCAGGGCAAGCTAATTGATCCAGCAGCCAAATCGCTCGCTCACCACTTTAAAGCCAGTAGCTCGCAAAGTAGAATTTCTGCTCCCAAGACTCCACAGCTTAGAGGGAGCACTGCTTGGGCTAGTCATTCTCTCCTGCAGCCTGAACTCCCTCGCTGGGTTGTTGTGAGGATAAAACGGAGGAGGGGAAAACGATCTAAACTGCTTTTCAGTCCCCACTGGGGAGAAAAGCCGGGTATAGTATTTACATAATTTTTATTTAAACAATATCTGCCGACTAGAGAGAGCCTCTTTCTCTGGCCTGGAGGGCCCAGGATAGCCCTGTTTCGTCAGATCTCGCAAGCGAAGCAGGGTCGGCCTGGCTAGTATTCAGATTGGAGACCACCAAGGAAGTCCAGGGTTGCTACGCAGAAGCAGGCAATGGCGAGCCACCTCTGAGCGTCTCTTGCCTTGACGACCCTACAGGGTCGCCGGAACTTGGCCGTGATTTAACAGCAGTTTCCACCACCACAGAAAAGCCTTCATTAGAAGGTTTACCCATCCTTCTCTTGCACGTAACATTATTCGTGTTGTAGTTGCGGTCCCCAAACTTGTTGGGCCTCTGTGCGCTTTTGGAATTTTGAGGAACGGTAGC